ATATATATATATATATATATATATATATATATATTCTGCAAAAAGAAAATGAAGCCAGTTTTAAGACATTGGGACATTACTTTTTTTATGACAATTAAACACATTACAGTTACATTATTTAAACACTAGATTTATAACTTAAATTAAAAATACATGCCAAAAATACACATTATTATTAATGAATGTTATTCATTGTCATATATTTTTAATACACAGATTTTAAACTTAAATAAATTAAAAAAATACATCTTAAAATTAATATATTGTTATTACTATTTATGGTTGTTATGACAATTAAACAATACAAACAGTTGAATAACTTTAACTATCGAATTTACTTTATGAATAATTTAACTATTTAATAAATAGTTAAAATAGATGTTTTAAAAATACACTGTTATTATATTTATGTATTTTTCATGACAATCAAATAATACAGTAAATACACTGGTTTTGAACCCTTTTTAATAAATACAAAATACATTTTACAGTAGAGTAAGATTACATTAATACACGTTTTTAAATCATTTACAAAAATACATAAAAAATACGATGTTTGACAATTGAACAATACAGAAAAAAAATACACTGGTTTAAAATTTTTACAAATGTACATTATGTGATACATAATGTAGCCTTATACATTAAAAATACATTATGAACATTTTGATTGTTTTGTGTTTTCATTTATAAATACAGTAAACTACAATACAGTAAAGAACACTGTATATAAAATAAAAAATCCATATCTTTTTTTACAGCAATGAAAATTAGATTTTTTTTTTTGCCCAAAATAACTCCTAATGATCCTAATTTCCCGTTTATTGGATTTTGCGGTGAGATAGAGATGGACATGTTCGTGACAGTTATCAAGAGATTAACCCATTGAACCCATCCCTCATATGCACTGTGTTTATGAACTGTCTGCTCTCGTCCTCAGCGCCTCCGTACGCCACCACACTGATGGAGGAGACAGTGGCTCGTCCCGGTGACGCCTTGCGTCTGCAGTGTCTCGCTCATGGCTCTCATCCAATCCGCTTCCGCTGGACGCGTGTGGGCGGAGCCTCCATGCCGCCGGGGGCGGAGACCACCAAAGACGGCCTGCTGAAGATCGTGCAGCTGAAAGTATCGGACAGCGGCACGTATAAGTGTGTGGCGACCAATCACGTGGGCTCCAGTGAAGCGCTGACCAAAGTCACTGTGAGAGGTGCGTCAAACTCAGGGAAGACAGAGATGTGACTTGTCCAAATACCCACAATTGCGGCCTTGGCCACTTGAGAGCACGTGCGCGCAACACAAAGTGCGCAAGACTGTCCCAGGTCTAGGTTTTTGCCAAATGAAGTTGATATTTGAAAGCACCAAAACAAACACATACCCCAATAGGACCTCGCCCTTATTTTGAAATCTCCACCCCATACGTACGTACACAACCCTGGCATAACGACGATCGCTGAAACAAGTGAAGATGACACACAAGCATATTCAAACCAAAGCCAACAAAGATAGGTTGTGTGAAACAAAGCAAAATCAACGTTATTCACCTATCAAGAAGGAACAATGCAACCTCGGCGTCCGATTCAAGCCCTTCCCGCTTCTTGAGTTCTCTCCAGCGCTGGAAAGCTGCTCCAATATTTACGCGGGTCCTACCTCTTGCCTGACCGTAACCCTTCTTTTTAATGTTTTGCTTCTCTGATATTTTCCTCTGATATTTCCGTCTCTCTCTATCTATAGTCGTTCTGCTGATATCCGTCCTGTGCACTCAAATTGAGCTGTTTGTCCTGTGCACCCCTTACTGCTGTTTGGCTACAAGTGTGTTTTGGGACTCGATCCAACGCTGTCATCAAAAGTGTGTTTCAAAAGTCACTTAGTGCACCTTTAAAACACCAAAGCACAGTGCCCTTAACGCACACTAAATCAACACTAACTTGAAAACCGCTCCGGCGCGCTATTCGAGGCTTACCCATCATGCATCATGTTTTGGAATAAATCGTGAGACTTTTGCCGAGATCTCGCGATATCACGGGAACCTTTCCGATGTAAGTTAAATATTAATATAATAATTAGACAGGGCCAATTATCACATATAATTTGGTAGAAAACCAAAGTGTTTCACGTTTTATGGTGCAAAGATGAGTAGTGGTGATATTTATTTTGTACGTTTTTTATACTTAATTAGCACAACAAATTAAATTGTCATGTTATAAGGACTACTGAACAGACATTTAGAAGTTGATTTTACAATGCAAAGTATTTAAAATAAAAATAAAGCTATATAAACACTTGCATTTGTACAACACTATAAGTGTGTCCCATCAGGTAATGAAAAGTTGTACACACACTTGTGGTCTTCATCCTCACTTGAACACTGAGCCCAAATACAGGAAATACGTCATATAAGTAGTCAAGTGGTCAAATGCAAAGACCACAAGCGTGGGTATTTGGACAAGGGGATTGTCTTACTATAAGGAGATGAGAGAGTCTGTATTACTATTGCACTCTAAAAAATGCTGGGTTGTTTCAACCCAACTTTGGGTCAAATATGGACTAACCCAACTGTTGGGTTAAATTTTTTAATGAAATATTTTAACCCAAAAGTTGGTTTAGTCCATATTTGACCCAAAGTTGGGTTGAAACAACCCAGCATTTTTTTAGAGTGTGGAGAAAGTGTAACGGCTAACTTGGATCATGTGTGCCTTAATAACCAATCACATTACAGCCTTGATGTCACTGAATTTCAATCAGAGTTGTGCGACACTCAATCACAGTTTACGGATCCCATCGAAATTAATGGGAAGAGCCGTAAACTGAATCCCATCTGTCACAAAGTCAGTGACTTCTCTTATAAAACATAATTTTTTTTCATGGTAAACTCTAAAAATAGTTCAATCCAAAAGTATTGTTTAGTGTAAAACATGTTGAAGATTAGCAGATAGGCTGTCGATTCATTAAATGATAAGCCGTTTCTGTTTATTCAATGTAGTGAAGCCTACACTCCATTGACATCCATAAAAAAAAAATGGCCTAAGCAGAAAAGCTGCTAGCATTAGCTGTTACGCTTTTTTGACTTAAGGTTGCAGGCTTGCCTTCTAGTGGCTTTGGGGAAGATTTTTCAAATAGGTTTGTCAAATGTAAAACACTTTGGAAATCACTAGCACTCCATTAAGTGGTTAAAATAATAGTGTTTATGTCATTAAATCCTCAGTTCTTCTCTCTCTGCTTTTACCTCCCAACAGCTTAATCACAGACCTGCTGATTGTAAAAATCTACCCATTAATTATGAGGACATTAGAGACTTCAGACCTACAAGACGATGAAGCTCAGAGACAAGACAAACGTGAAGTTTTGCTATGGTATTCAGAACTATATATTCTGTTTATATTCTGCTATTTTGAATATTTCTGAAATGTCACGATGGAAAGATGCTTCCACTTTGGCATTCAAGTCAAATAAACACATAATAAAAAGTTCATAATAAAGACGGTGTGATTATCTTCCATTGGATTTCCACAAAATTCATTACAAAAAATAAATAAATAAAAAATCTAAGACTGACAGTGAATAATATATAACTTAAAAGAACTCATCAAATTCTAGTCACATCGACTTTAGACTAAAATTAGATACATTTTGTTTAAAGGGGTCATGACATGCATTTTTTATTATTATTTTAATATGCTCCTTGAGGTTTACTTACAATGTTAATAAAGCTTTTTGCACAAAAAAACGAAGAAAAAAAAACAAATATGTGGAGAAATTATTTTCAACCCTCATTCTGCCCCTCTGTCTAAAGCGACCTGTTTTAAGAGGCGTGTCCTTTAAGGCTTGTCAAGAATCAGCCACTGTTATGATTGGCTAACGTCATTGCATAGGAATCATTATCAACGCCCCCTCGCTATTGCATGTTTTGACAACATGATTAAATAAAACTGTCATTTCCAGACAAAGCATCATGAAATCATTTACTTACAGTTTGTGATGCAGCTGCAGTCAGATCTAGTGCCGCTTCATCTTTCAACAAATGTTTCCGTGTTGCTCTGGAGGCAGTCATATGCAAACGACTGCGCCCGTGTGACGTCATCTTGCCCCTCAGATCCAAAATGAGCCGTTTTCTGAGGGTTATTACATAAATGCTTTTTTATTGACGATGAGGCCATTTTAAAGGGATAGTTCACACAAAAATGAACATTCTGTCATTAACATGAGCTATCCCTTTAAGTTATGAAATTTGCAGGATGTATTAAGCATACAAAGACCTCTTCTGTGTCAAAAGATCAAGGGAAATTTGGTTTGTCATGTCATGACCCCTTTAATATTTCTCAGTATTTTGGCCAAGAGCTGTCCAATTAGACATGAAGTGATAGTCTAACTGACATGTATAGCATGGTGTTGCCTCCTTCTGGTCAAGGAGGAGTGTTGCAAGCTGATTAGTTGGATCTGCTCATGAGAGGATATATAGTTCAGCAATAGTCAGGTAAATTTGCATGCTAAGGACATTATCATTGAATATGGTAAAGCAGAGATTGTAAACATCTAAACTCACCTTTTGACCTTAACAGCAACCTCTACGGAGATATAGAGCATCTGTCATGTCCTGGATGACGAGAGGCTTGACCTTTAAAGACACATGAAAGCATTCTGCTGGGAGACTTCGCACAAAGCTATAGTCCTGCCGCACACAGGTCTTCTGTCGCTTTCTATCTGTTCAATACGGCCGTTCCAGGTGTGAGGTGTACGCTGGAGGTTTCACTCAGACGAATCAGCTCATGTAGTTCACACCAGGAAATGAATCAAATATGCAGGTTACCTCTCATTGACTTTGGAGACTTCAGCTTAAATACAAGCAGCGGCTTTCATTTCCTCATGTAAGAAAAGGTTTAGTGAAGATGAACCAGTTTGAATCTGTCTTCCGAAAGAGGTTGTTTCTCTAGTTTTTAATAGGGCTTTATACAATACAGATTGTGTTAAAGCAGCTTTACAGTGTTGCACAAAAAAATAATGTTTCAATAAACCAAACAAAATTCAATTCTGCTGTAAAGCAGCTCAAAAAAAGATGACAAAAGTAAATAGTACATTTTTCAGCTAAAGTCAGTTCATTGTTTATTCAGTGATGTCATTGTCCAGCTCAGTTCAAAAATCCAATATCACACACTGATCTGCACATTACAGTGAATTTTCATCCAAACGATTTATTTCTACCCAGTAAATAATGTTCTAGAGACATTTTAGTTTAAGGGGTTATTTTTTACAACCATAAAATAATGTTCCCGTAGCACTACATTATTACACAACCTAAAATTATGAATCTATCATGATTGTGGGGCAGCGTGTTTCTTCTTGTGCGTCTGAAAACCCAATTTATAAGCGAATCTCTCGCCGCAGATGGAGCAGCAGTAAGGTTTCTCTCCAGTATGCATTCGTTCATGGATCTTCAGGGAAGTTGATATAGCGAAAGTCTTGTCACAAAGTGAGCATTTAAAAGGTTTTTCTCCTGTATGAGTCCTCTGGTGTTTTTTTAAGTCACTTAGCTTATAAAACCTCTTCCCACAATCACTACAGGGATATGGTCTTTCTCCCGTGTGAATTCTCAGATGAACTTTTAAAGAAAATGAACTAGAAAAGCTCTTCCCGCAGTCGGAGCACAGGTACGGTTTCTCTCCGGTGTGAGTCCTCTCATGGGTTTTCATGTGACTCAAATGATGGAAACGTTTCTCACAGTGTGAACACTGATACGGTTTGTCATCAGAGTGTATTTTTTGGTGAAAATTTAGAGAACCTGAGCTTATAAAACTTTTCCCACATTCACTGCACTGATACGGTCTCTCATTGCTGTGCAAACGCACATGTTTCTTCAGACTAGATCCCTCGGTGAAGCTCTTCTCGCAATGAGGACACTTGTACGGCTTTTCACCCGTGTGGACCCTCTTATGACGTGAAAGATTTTGTTTGATGTTGAACAACTTGCCACATTCACTGCACTGATGCGGCCTTTCGTTGGTGTGTGTAAATAGATGGTCCTTCAGATTAGATCCCTGGCTGAAGCTCTTCTCGCAGTGAGGGCACTTGTATGGTTTTTCACCCGTGTGGATCCTCTTGTGAATAGAAAGTTTACTATTGTTGCGGAAAAACTTGTTACATTCGTTGCACTGGAAAGACTTTTCCTCGTGTGTCTTTATGTGAGCTCTCATACAATGAAGAGTGGTGAAAAAATCCTTCCCGCACTGTTCACAGCGAAACTCCTTCTTCACGCTGTGCTCTTTTGAATGAAGTGTTTTATCTGCTAAGGTAGGAAAACTCTTGCTAATGAAGTCTTTCTGTTCTCTGTGTTTTTTCTCATGTCTCATTAAATGACCCTGTTTGCTGAATTTCTTTCCATAGTCCGTCACTGTCCATTGCTCTTTGGATGTAGATGCAGTTTCTCCAGCATTGTCTGAAAGTAACAAAATGGTCATAAAATATTTAACTTTCTCTTTAAATTCTAGAGCTGGACGATCCGTCAAAATAAAAATGAAATGATCTTAGTGCGGTTATCAAACTGCAAAGGCTGTGATTTAAATAAATACAAAGTCTGATGTGATGTGTGGCAGTGTTGCCAGATTGGGTCGACAATTTCCAGCCCAAAAGCTCACCAAAACATTAATTGACAAAATACTGTAATAAAGTTATGTTGTCATGACAACCAAGGACCATTTACCACCTTAAAACTAAAGAATGATAACAAAATACAATTATAAAAATGAATCAATTACCCTGCCGGGTAAACAATACAACAGCAAAACATCACTCACAGACACCTTCCCCACTGCATTCAAGCAGGCTCGGGTAACCCCACTGCTCAAAAAACCTACATTAAACACTTACAGATAACTTACAGATAACTACAGACCTGTCTCTCTCCTTCCATTCATAGCGAAAACCCTCGAAAGAGTTGTTTTCAACCAGATATCATTGTTTCTTTCACAGAACAACAAACTGGATGCTAACCAGTCAGGATTCAGGAGTGGCCATTCAACTGCGATTGCGCTACTGTCAGTCACGGAAGCCTTGCGGATTGCAAAAGCTGATTCCAAATCATCAGTTCTTATTCTGCTGGATCTATCTGCTGCTTTTGACACTGTCAATCATCAGATCCTCCTGTCTGCCCTCTCTTCACTGGGCATCACAGGGATTCCTCTTCGCTGGTTTGAATCCTATCTCACTGGTAGGTCTTTCAGGGTGGCTTGGGGAGGGGAGGTATCCAAAGCACATCAACTTGTCACTGGGGTTCCTCAGGGATCAGTTCTTGGACCCCTCCTCTTCTCCATATACACAACATCACTGGGTCCCATCATACAGGCACATAGAGGCTCAAAATCACTTTCCAGAACATTCTCGTTCACCATTCCTGGCTGGTGGAACGATCTTCCCACCCCTATCCGGAATGCTGAATCCCTGACAATTTTCAAGCGACAGCTGAAAACTCATCTCTTTCAAAGCTACTCGACTTCATCATCATCATTATATAAAAAAAATAATAATAAAAAAAAATTCTCTCTCTTTATTTATTCCTTCTCTTTCTAACTTGTACTTATTTGAACAATGTCTAGAAACTTGGTATTACAAGCACTTCCTGTATCTGTTTGCCTCTTTAAGAAGAATCGCTTTATGTATCCCCAAATTGTAAGTCGCTTTGGATAAAAGCGTCTGCAAAATGACTAAATGTAAATGTAAATGTAAAACATATCAAAACAAGGCAAATACAGCAAAAAAAACAAAAAACATATTATAAGTTATTAAAATACGTCAAATATTTGCAAAAAACGGTAAAAGAAATGACCATACTTCCCTCCGAAACACACATCATTTACAACGTCATCTGCAAAAATAGGCCAATTCAAGTCCAGAAAAAACGGTGTAACGGTTCAAATTATTTATGGTTCGGTTTGTATCAGTCACTTAGGGATGTAATGGTATGAAAATTTCTTATCACGTTATAGTGACCAAAATTATCACGGTTATCAGTATTATCACGGTATTGTTAACATGTGCTGGAGATGTTCAAAAAGTACTGACACATAAATCACTTAAAGTTTTATATTTAAAATCAACAAACAACAAATAAAATGATTTTTGTTTGCATAATCACAAAAAACAACAACATTGCCAATGTTTAACTAATAGCACGTTCAAATATCTAATGCAAATGTTCAAATAAAGCTTTGAAAAAGTTTCATAAAATGGTAAACCTCACGTTTCAGTCTTTAAATAACGAAAAGGGTTAAGTCAAAATGATAATTGATTAATCAATGATTATATGTATTTTATCCGCTCCATAAAGAATTTAAGATAACTTCTCTGAATTGTTTAAATGTGTAGAATCCATAAGCTTGTTTTTCATCAACTGGTCAAAATTTAGGCTACAGTAGGGCATGCAAATTCGGTCCGTTTTTTGGCCAGACAGAAACTGAATGTGAATGTAAGTCTCTGTAAATCCACTCTCTGACAGCAGGTGGCGCTTATGGAAAAGCTGAATTAGAGCCGTTTCCCCTGAACTCCGTAGACAAAGCAGCATTGCAATTAAGAACACTTCTTTAGGTATTACATGGAGCGAAGACGAAAACAAAAAGCCATCGAATCTTTTCTGAAGACAGTCAGAACCTTCAGAGGTACATTCATATAATGAATTAATTCATATATTCATTTGTATAATTCCCGATTTATGTTTCTGCCGGTGGGTGCCCAACCCCCATTTGCAAAGTGAAACACACGGACTGGAAACACATTAGTTACCAAATAATACACACATTCTTTCTATGAGGGTTGTGCTTCACTAAATAAAATGATTTAATAGATACCCATTTACAATAAGATTAGATTATTACAAATAGATGCGTTGTCAGATTTAAGTTGAACTGCGGTGCAAGTGCGTGCCGAACCGTGGGTGCAGAACAGTACGGTTCGATTTTTTACCATGAACCGTTACACCCCTAGTATAGGGCTCCAGACAAAAAAAATTAACTAAGGAGCCATTGGCTCCTATAAGAAACAAAACTAGGCGCCAAATTATTTCTTTAGGTGCCACAGAATAAACGCGTTTTATTTTTATTTTTTTGACACTAACATTTCAGTCATACTTGTCGTCGTGTGTTTATGTCTCATCTTTTTATGTCTTGATCAGCTTTTTTGTAATTGTCCTGGGAACTAAGGTTCACTTAAAGTGTGAACTAAACACCTTTTCCAACTTGAGAACTATATACAGTCAAAGAATTGTTTATTACACAGAATCTGTGCCAATGTCATAGACCATAATGTCAGCATCAGTTGGCCATTGAGTGTAGTTTGGGATCCTATAAATGTTGTCATGTCTTTCTTTCAGCGCCTGAAAATAGTCCCCAGCACGCTCCCTGTGCAAGCAGGTGGTCACGTTGGTTATGTTGACGGAAGTTAGCCTATTTTCAGGCGCTGCGTAATATCATTGTGCCTGCTGCACCCATGGTACGGCAGCAAAGTTCCTTGATTATTACGCCGGAATGAGAGTATAGTTCCTAGCCATATCGGTCTAGAAAATCTCAACTTTATCATTTTCCATCGGTCTTAGTACACGATGTAACTACAGAAGAGTCAAGTTTTAAATAGGAAAAATATAGAAACTCTTTGGTCATTTTTGAGCGAGATGCTAACGGTCTAATCAGATTCAATGATCTATGCTAAGCTACAGCTAAAAGTGCTACCGCCAGACCCGGAGATCAGCTGAATGGATTTGAAAACGGTAAAACTCAACTGTTTAACTCTAGGGGAGTTGGAAAATTAGCCTATTTTAAAAAATAGTGGAGTGTTCCTTTAATATTTTTTGACGCAAATACCGCAAGTAGTAAATACACAATATTTTACAATTTCTTAATAATTCTGTTAACTTGGCATATCATGGTCATAAAAAGAAAAAAACATACCTGGAAGAACGAAGTCACCATCATCATCATCTTGATCTTCATCATTCCCATTATTCTGATCTTCATCCTCATCACTGTGTTGTTGTTCTTTCTCTGCGGTGGTTTCTTCTCCTCTGCTCTCTATCAGGTTCCTGCAGTCCACCAGTTTGACGGAGCACGTCTTCAGCGGCGTCTGCAGCATCTGCTGTTCTCCAGCGTTACAGTCAGAGGTTTGATCAGTGGATTCATGATCCTGAGCGTCAGTATAACAGAGTAAAGTGAGGCTGAGCTCTGAGTCCTGTGTGTCTCTGGATCTCTGATCTCTGACGCTCCAGACTGAATCCTGAGCTTCTGTCCCATCAGTCACACGCACTGAAACCTGCTCCACATCCTGACAAACACAATCAGTAATACATCTAGTAAGAGTATGATTAAAAATAAGACATTAATTCACATAACAATCAGTCCATATTAGCAGCTAAAGATGAAATGAAGAGCTGCTCAAACCTCTCTGTTCAGTTTGTCTCCTCTTTCTCTCAGCTTTGCCTCCAGTGAAGCCACCTCTTTCTTCAGCTGACAGATTTCTGTGATGAAATCCTCAATATCCAGCATGGACAGATCAGTTCCTACTGATTTACAGCAGACCACATCCACCTGCGCTTTCATGCTCAACATCTGAACAGACACACACCATGATTATTAAAGACGCATTTATAATGAACTGACACTGATTTAACCTCAAAAGGATTGTTTACATACGACTGAACAAGAGCTGAAATACACAGAACTGACTTGTTATTAAAGAATACATGAGAATATTATCACGTTTATTTCAGATGTTTCAATCTTGAGTCAGCACAAAGCTGGACATAACTCAGATATTGCCAGATTTATACACTAGCGATAGAAAAATAACGACATCCACGTATAAACATCTAAAACACATGAATAATGTAAACAGACTAAACACTAACCGTCTGAGTGCTCGGTCTCCTTCCTTTCTTCGGTGGTTTTACCGGAGAACTAAAGATCGTCAGAGCGCCTCCTACAGGACGAGAGATAGAGATGAAGAGAAGAAACGACGCTCCGCTGCTGTGTGGAGGGCGGCACCAAACCTCATTTATTTTATTTCAAAAACACTATTTCAGCGGCGTTGCCAAGACATGGATACAATACATCCATATATTCATATTATATATAATTATTAAATAAAGTAATCGATCATGTTAGTCAGCCGGTCAATGAAAATGACCGTTAATTTTTGAATTGCGCGAGTTGGCGGCTTTCTGGAGGACTGGACAAGAGAAAGCGCGCGCAGAACCAGAGAAGCGCAGTAAAGAACACAACAGAGAGAACACTGTAAACTTGCATTTTTAATTGTATTACACTGCTTTACTGTAGGCTGTGCTGAGATGTTATGAATGGTTACTAGTAAGTAATACAGACTTAAATCCCATTGCGTACAGACCATATTCAAGGTGCTGCAGCTGATTAAATTCCCAATGAAATCAAAATTGAAGTAAAAAATATTGTATAGCCTTAAGGTTATCTATAAGCTTGTGTGCTCCAAAACAACGACAAAAGACACATTTAGAAGATATAAGCATTAACTTTAGTCATTAGTCTCTCGTTTCCACCAATATGAATCAACAATTTTGATGACATCACCCTGCACTTCAGCTTCTCATCCGACTTTCTGTCCAATCAAATGCTCTCAAGAATACGTGGTAAACAAAACCATGGTTAATTTGTGGTTAACATCCAACCATGATTTTTGGTTTTATTCATAGTAAAACCATGGCTAATTGTTGTAAGGGAACATGGAAAGTCAGAGAGAATCGGTACAAAATGCTGCGGCGAGGTTACTAAAAAAGGTAAAGGTATAGAGGTGAAGAAATATGAATCAATTACCCCCGTGTTAGTTTCTTTAAATTGGCTCCCAGTCCATTTTAGAATTAAATATAAAATGTTATTGTTCGTGTTCAAATCTTTAAACCAGGCCCCATTGTATTTGGCAAACCTTTTAATCCCATATAATCCTCCTAGAACATTACGATCAGAGAATCAAAAATTACTTGTAGTGCCTAGAACAAATCGCCTATATAAAGGCGATCGGGCCTTCGCTGTGATAGGGCCAAGACTTTGGAATGAGTTGCCCCTGCCGATCAGGTCTGCCAAATCACTGTCAATTTTTAAGAAACTGTTGAAAGCACATCTAATGTTGGTAGCATACAATGATTGAGGTGGTATTTTATATGCCGATGTGGTGTTTTATGTTGTCGATGTTTGTTTTAATTCTTGTACTTTTTATGTAAAGCACTTTGGTTCAACCTCGGTTGTGTTTTAAATGGTGCTATATAAATAAATAAACAAGAACAAACAAGAACAAGAATATTAGATGCGTTGTTGGTGGTTAAATTATTACCGACATTAAAACATGTCCAAGATTCACACCTGTAAGTAAATGTCGTTGTAAATCCCAAAAAACTGATATTATGACATATTGCATATTCATGTCTGGATCATTTCAGTTTGTGTAACAAAGTGACTGAGGCCAATAAAGGTCATTAGATGTCATCATGTGTTTCAGGAAGTATTTAATAACGGCTAAAAGAATTAGGACTCATCATTCTGTTACTGTGATTAAAAACCCATAAACACACATAGTAATCCAATATCAGACATTGATCTGCACATTACAGTGAATTTAAAGTAAAAACATAGGATTCATTTTTACACCGTATGTAATGTTCTAGAGCAGGGGTGTCCAATCCTGCTCCTGGAGGTCCACCATCCTGCAGAGTTTAGTGCCAACACACTTACCTGAAGTTTCTAGCGAGTCTGAAGACCTTTGCTTTGTTTGAAATCACCACCAATCACTATTAGTCCACTTGAAGGAGTCAATGAAAATTCATGAGTGAATTCACACAGAGTCATTTCTAGAGTGTTTAAAGGACATCAAAAATTGGATGTGAAAATTTTTTTAATGCTAAATGAGGAAAAAACAGAGGTCATTGTTTTTAGCCACCCAAATAACTCCACAAAAAATGTATTAGATGCGAGCCCTCTGGCACCGTATTTGAAAAAAACAGTAAGAGATTTAGGCTTCCTGATTGATAATAACCTAAAATTAGATAAGCAAATTAACTCAGTGGTTCGGGCTGGTTTTTATAATTTGCGTTTATTAGCCAAAGTTAAACCGTTCTTAACAAACTCAGACTCTGAAAGAGTAATCCATGCCTTTATTCTATCACGGCTGGATTTCTGTAATTCTTTGTATTCTGGCATCACCGCCACATCTTTGTCTCGACTACAATCAGTACAAAATGCTGCGGCGAGGTTATTAAAAAAGGTAATGAAATATTAATCGATTTCCCCTGTGTCAGTTTCTTTAAATTGGCTCCCAGTCCATTTTAGAATTAAATATACAATTTTATTGTTCGTGTTCAAATCTTTAAACAACCAGGCCCCATTGTATTTGGCAAACCTTTTAATCCCATATAATCCTCCTAGAACATTACGATCAGAGAATCAAAAATTACTTGTAGTGCCTAGAACAAATCGTGTATATAAAGGCGATCGGGCCTTCGCCGTGATAGGGCCAAGACTTTGGAATGAGTTGCCCCTGCCGATCAGGTCTGCCAAATCACTGTCAATTTTTAAGAAACTGTTGAAAGCACATCTAATGTTGGTAGCATACAATGATTGAGGTGGTATTTTATATGCCAATGTGGCGTTTTATGTTGTTGATGTTTGTTTTCATTCTTGTACTTTTCATGTAAAGCACTTTGGTTCAACCTTGGCTGTGTTTTAAATGGTGCTATATAAATAAATAAACAAGAA